GTTTGGTGGGCCTGGGTTTGATTCGAACCCACCACCTTAGGTGTATGTGGCTGGTGCCTTAGCCACTTAAGCCACAGGCGCCAAGTCGAAGGAAATATCTTGATGTGATCACTGTGGCCCAGTGACAGCTCTCTAGGGACATGAAGTTGATTTGTTAGTGTGTCCAAAGTTGAATCTGCTCCTGAGGATTGATCTATGTGAACCAAACACTCAAGTGTGCGTGTGTCAACCAGAATGTCCATATATTAGCATGTGGGGGAAACTTGTATTTTTAGTGATTGAAATATCAGCGCCTCCCCATCTTGTTATCAAGATATTTGTGAGACTAAATTAGTCAGTGAAGGTGGCTTGGTGCTTATGAATTTAGAACAGTGGCAGTAGGGTGGTCTTGATGGAGATGATTTGTCCTTTTCCACAGAAGAGCTGACTTATGGGGCCAACATACATTGTACCTCTCTCCCAGGGACACTGTTGAATGAACAGTAACGATTTCTTATACTCCAACCCATATTTTCCAGATTCTTTCTTAGGTTACAATTGATTTAGTCACACTTCAATATTGGGACTATTCCTGTTCATCTTGTTTGGACTTGTGTTTTCTTGGTTACATCAGACAGGAAATAGAGAAAAATGCAGTTTACAGTGAAACTTATCAAAGCTTGTAAGGTTATAAGGATTAAATGAAAACCCTCTGTAAGTAAGTATATAATGAAAAATTGAGTAAGCTCAAGTGGTCAAATGCATCAATATTAGAAAGACAATAAAGGAAAAATCAGGATTTGTTTCTGTTTGAATAACATTTTCTGCACAAATATAGTGTATCAGTAACTGGGCAGTGGGTGTCCCATGATGAGTGCAACACGGTTCTTGCTTTCAGAGAGCTCAGAGACTTGGTGGCGGGGAGCACATAAACCCGTCACTGCAATGTGCATGACTCACGTGATGACAGAAACATATACACGGCACAGAAATGGCACATACAGAAGTAAGGATGATTAAAACTGTTGCTTGGCGGAGTTTCAAAGGACAAATGGGATTTTTCAGGCAAAGGACATACAAGGCAGAGGAAATGATATGGATAAAGATGCAGAAGAGTAAAATTGCATGAAGTATATCAAACTCATAAAAAGTATGAAATTAGAGGGAAAAATGAGATTGAAGAGATACCTAGATCCAACCAAGAAGGGGCTCTTTGGTACTATGAGGTCTTGGCTCTAGTTTGTGGGTCAGAAGTTCTCAGATGGGGCTTTGAAACCTATTGCCTTCACGACCTACTATGTATTGGGCCAATGGGAAAGAAAGGGGTTGCCTTACTGCCAGTGGAATAGGGATTGGGTATGGACCACAGCTTGTCTTGTTCATGAGTATTCCCCAATAAATCTGGTCTGCCTGCCTGTGGAATATCTGTTCATTATAATATCTTTTGTCTAGGAATTATGGTTGAAATCGTTATAGGTGAGGAGATAAGAGAGACATGATCAGATTGATGTTTTAGAAAGAACACCTGGCTTGGCACCTGTGGCTCAAGCGGCTAAGGCGCCAGCCACATATACCTAAGGTGGTGGGTTTGAATCCAGCCTGGGCCCGCCAAACAACAAAGACGTCTGCAACCAAAAAAATAGCCCGGCATTGTGGCGGGCGCCTGTGGTCCCAGCTACTTGGGAGGCGGAGGCAGGAGACTTGCCTGAGCTCAGGAGTTGGAGGTTGCTGTGAGCTGTGATGCCATGGCACTCTACCCAGGGGACAGCTTGAGGCCCTGTCTCCAAAAAAAAAAAAAAAAAGAAAGAAAGAAAGAAAGAAAGAAAGAACACCCAAAGCAGATTGGAGAGACTGATATTGAAAGCAGGAAGACTTATCAGGAGACTACTATAAAGGTGAAGGCAAAAGACCACCAGGGATTTCACTTTAGTTCAAGTTTTTATAGGTGGTAGAGTGGCCAGAAATGAGGATATGCACTCCAGAGAGAGTTAGGAGTCAAATCATCAGAGCTTGGTGATGGATTGGATGTAGGGTGTGGTGGGTGAGGCCGAGAGAAGAGTTGAGTGAAACTTTCATATCCCTGGTTTGGGCAATGACATAGAATATAGCAAGAGGGTTTGTGGGGAAGGCAGATGTGTTAGGCAGCAGGTGCATCTGCTCTAGTCACATGAAGAACAAGGCTTAGGTGTGAATGGGAGAGCCAGCACTGGACAACTCAGGAAGAAGGGTAGAGGGGAATTCTAGAGAACTCCCAGTAGGAACCAGAAATATACAGAGAGAGAATTCCAAAAGATGACCTTGGACCGGAGCCTGTGGGATTCTCGGAATTTCAGGAAGTCCAGGAAAGACTTCACTGAAACAGAATCCTGTTGGTTCCTTGGAAGGACTATGAGGAATTCTCACATGACTTCCCAGTTCCATCAACAACAGGTGTGAAAAATTTCACAGGGACTTTATGGACATTGAAAAAATTTTCTTTAAGAA